GGGGGGGGGGAGAGCAACCATCTGGCATCGTCTGAGTCGCATGGCCCCCATTCAGTTTCTGCCGAAAGAGTTTTTGGCAAAAAGGCCCCCATAGCAACCCATGGATTTGCTTAATGACCGTTGCAAAATTGGGGGTCGGAAAATCCAAAAAGTCACGGGACGACCTGCTTTACAGCCGCCATGACTTACGGCACTTTGGTAGGGTCGCAAGTCGAGGACTTTCAATACCAACCTGCCCCAAAGGGGGGGTGGGAGACAGTTGCTTTGCCCAGGGCCCAATGCCCCAAGGCAAGCTAGTCCTCCACTTACGACCATCAATTTTGTGACTATTCAACGGCACTGAAAAATGTGACTCATGACCGTTGTTCACATTTTATGGCCGTTGGATCCTCCCCCCCTGTGGCCGTGTGGTCACAATTCAGCCCCTTGGCCACTGACTCAGCGTTATGACGGTCCTGCGATCCCCTTTTGCAACCAACTCGATGGGGGGAGCTGGGTACAAGGACGGTCATAAAATGAGGCCAGACTCCAACTTAACAACCGTCTCGCTTAGCCATGGAAATTCTGGCCCCAACGGCGGTCGCAAGTTGAGGACCGGCTGTGCTGGGAGAGCAAGGGAGGCAGAGCCCCTCTGGCCTTCTCCCCCCCCCGCCCGCCCCCCCACGTGCCTGGCGTGCCCTCGCGATGCCCGGGGGGGGCTGACCTGGCGTGAAGAGGGCGATGGCCTTGAGGCAGCTGAACTCGGCCGAGTCCACCTGCAGCCGGCTCAGCTTCTCCACCTGGTCCTGGAAGATGCGGATCTGGTCCATGAAGGAGACCACCCGGTCGGCGGACATGGGGGCCGCGTGGAAGCCGGCGGCGGCCAGCAGGGGCGCCATGTGGAGGGGCAGCGCGGACTGGGCGGCGTTGAGCACGAAGAGTTCGCTCCAGCTGAGCCGCAGCAGCGCCACCTGGTCCGAGACGGGCAGCTCCGGGAAGAAGGGGATGTTGCGCGCCCACTCCACCGTGCTGAAGAGCAGCCGGGCCGCCAGCTCACAGATGTTGTCGATGCCCATCACGCTGCCCTGCTGGGCGTACTGGGAGCTGAAGCGGGCGCTGGGGTACGGCTCGGCCCGCAGCAGCTGCGAGATCAGCTCCGAGACGGGCTGCCCGTTGTAGAAGTCCCCGCTCTGCACCATGTTGGGGCTGGCGTGGCTGGGGGGGATGCGGCCCCGCTGGACGGCTGTGCAAGGGGGGGGGGCAAGGGAGAGGGTCAAGGGGGGGGCAGCGCCGGGACCCCTCCCCCCCCCCGCCCACTCCCATCCAGGCACCTCCGGCAGGCTGGGGAGGCGCCCTTTGGCCCCGGCATGCCCATGGGCGGGAGGGCCTGCTGCTGCTTGCCCGGGAAAGGTGCCAGGGCACCTGTTGCCTTCCCCCACCTCTGGCCTCCTTTCCCAGCCGCGACCTCTGCCCCAGCTGGGTCACGTGAGCCCCCGCCCCAGCCCCACGGGGGCCGTGCCCTCCCGGCAGGCCTGCTCAACCGGTCCCTTCCCTGCCCTCCCTCTGAACCATGCCCTGCATGCCATCCCCTCCCGCCCCTTGGCCTCTCCTCAGCAGCCGGCCCGCGAAGGTAGAGTGCTCCTTAGCAAGGAGGCTCTACGAGGAGGAGTCCCCCCCCCGGCTCTTCTGCTAGCTGGTGCCCCCCCCCGGGTGGGAGGGCTGTGGGCAAACTCAGGGGCAGAAGCGAAAGGAATGACCGGGGCCCTGATGGGATGCCAACCTCTCCCCTGGCACTTCCTGGTCCACCCTGGGGGTCAAACTGAGGGCCCACTGTCCACTGGCTCTCTGTCCTGAGCTGCAAACTGCCCCATAGTTAATCCAGAGCCCCGTCCAGCCCCTCCCCAAGGGGCCCCTGCCCAGCAGTGGTGGAAGGGAGGGGTCAGTCCGTAGCCCCCCTCCCCACATGCCATCACTATCATGCTGCCCCCAAAGACCTGGGGGTGGACTGCAGGGCAATCTAAGTGTGGTGGGGGGTGCAGAGGGAAGGGGGCTCCTGGGTTCCCTCTGGCCTGGCCAGGGCAGGTGCCCGGGCACTGGTGCCCCCTTGCCCTGGGACAGCCGATCCCCCAGCCAGCAGGGAGGGGAGGGTCTCCTCCCCCACATCAGGAGGGGCTGCCTGGTAACCTCAGCCAGTCTGACTTCATTCCCGGAGGGCAGTTGGGGGCGGGGGCA